TATCATTTTTTATTACTTCAATTGTAAATGTAAAATTTAATATATTTAATACCAATCTCCTTATTTCTTTTGTTGTTACCGAATCTTCTATGTTTCTTGTTAGCCACCATTTTATTTGTGTATTATCTGTTCTTATAATAAATTCGTTATATACAATATATGGTTCAAATGATAATAAACATTTATATACCGAATATAATTCTTTCCTATTTATTTCCCATCTTATTTCTACATTAGTAAATGTTCCTTAATAATATCTACAATGATGTTCTATTTTTTCTTCTCAATACCTGTATTTTAATACTCCTCCATAATTTTTTTCACTGGCGTCTGATTCTACTATATAATTAAATTTTTTATTTTCATCCGGAAAATATAGTGTAGGAAGGTTTTTACATAATAACTTTTTTTTTGTATTTGTGTTTGGTCTTTCTTATCAAATTGATATTCTACATCTTTCTTTAATTTTTGTTGTAATGGTTTTAAATTCTCTGCTAATTTTGGTATGTATTCTCTTACTTGGTTTACTAGTCTTAGAAATGATTGTAGTTTTTTTTTCGTATCTAGCTATTCATTTGAGTTAATTATTTTTTGTACTATATGCGTTTGCATTTTTATTCCAGTTTTATCTATTTGTATTCCTAGGAATTCTATTTGGCTTTCCATTATGTCTGCTTTCTTTTTACTTAGGCTTATGCCTGAATATTCTATAATACATATGAATTTTTCTAATAATCTTATGTGGTCATCTTGGGTTTTAGAATATAGTAATATATCATCAATATATACTACACAATTTTCTAATTGTTTAAAGTAGTTATCCATAAAGTGTTGATATCTACCTGGTGCATTTTTATATCCAAATGGTAATACATTCCATTCATAAAATCCTTGTGGTACTGTAAAAGTTTTTTAGATTCTTCTTATAATTTTAAGTGGTAAAATCCTGATTTGCAGTTAAATTTACTAAAGTTATTATATCCTTGTATTTGTCTTAATTTTAATATTTTATTTGGTATTGGGTAATTATATGTTTTAGTTTTTGCATTTAAATTTCTATAATCAATAACCATTCAACTTTTTCCTCTTTTTTGTTCACTATGTTTATTTACTATAAATGTTGGACTTGTATGCTTGCTATTGCTTTCTTGTATGTACCCTATTTCTAGTAATTCAGTTATATGTATCTTAAATTCTGTTAAATCATTAAAATTATATTTTAATGGTTTTTGGGTTATTATACTATTATTATCAATTAGCTCAATTTTTATTTTTGTTTTATGTTTTTCCCATCCTTGTAAACGATCTTCACTATACAATAATTCTAACTTATCTTGGATTATTTTTACTTTATATGTAGAGACTATAATTAATTCTATCTTAGGGTCTTCTTGTTTTATATTTTCTAATTTTTGTGTAATTTTTTCACTTCCTTTTATACATTCTGTTGTTTTTCGTTTTTTGTTATTTTACTCTTTTTGCTCCTATTTTTTGTTTACACGGTGTTGTGAACCACCAGTGAGTTTTTGTTATTATAAGTGGGTATAATTTTTTTTAAAATGGCATTCCTAATAACATATCTTTTGTAGTCAATTCAAAGTAATATATTTCTTCTATAGTTAATATCTTATCCCATATTTGTATTTTTATTTTTTTTGCCTTATATGTGATCATGCTTCCTTCATTATTAAATTTTGTTACTACTATTGGTGTTTTTAATTTTTCCCACTTATCTTTTGGTAAACAATTGTATTTACATATATTAGCTTCTGCTCCCGTATCTATCATTGGTGTATAATATCTGTTGTAATATCCCTCTATTATTATCTTTGCAAGTATATATATTTTCATATTTTTATCATACTAAAGTCCTTTTTATTACTATTTTATTTTCATAATTTATTATTAATTGTTTGTCTTCTAGATTATATGGTTTTACTTGTTCTAGCCATTTTATTCCTAAAGTGATATTTTCATCTCCTTGATATATTTTAAATTTTATTACTATTGGTACGCCTCCAATGATTATTTCCTTTTCTGTAGTTTCTTCGGTATACATTAATGCTTTTGGTAGTTCGGGGCATAATTGTTCAGTAGTTATTATATCATCTTCCGTCACTAATTCTCTTGTAATATAATTTTCTTCTAGTCCTGTATTTATTAATATTAAATATTTTCGTTGTTCCATTATTCCCGTTATGTAGTAATGATGTGGTTTTATTTCTTCTTCCATTGATTTTTGTGGAGTTTTATCTATTCTTCTTGAGGTACTCATTTTTGATGATATTTTGGGTATCTCATTATTTATTCTTTTTGATGTACTTAGTCTTTCTTTTACTATTTCCAAATCTTCTTCTATATCAATTTCATTATAACTATAATTATTATTATCTATGACTGTAACTATCCTTTCAAAATGATTTACTATTTTTATTTTATTTATTTTATTTTTTGCTGTTATTTTATGTTTTGTTGTTAAAACATATAAGTTTTTATATCTAGCTGTAAATATTTTACTTTCCGGGGCTAGTTCTATTCCTGACATTTTCCAATATAATACTAGTGATTTATCTATATTTCTATAATTTATTGCTACTGAGTAGTTAGCACCTATTATGAATTTAAATTTTTGGTATATGAGGTTACCTTTTATTGCACTTATTATACTTTTTTCTATAAGTTGTATGATCCTATCATCTGCTAAGTATATTTCTATGGATGTATCTATTCCTTCTCTAAAACATGCTTTTATTAGTATTTCTGTTCCTCCTAAATGTACATATTTAATTGGCTTTTCAGCCTTAATATCTTGTATGTTTTTATTTATTATCCATTTGTTTATTATTGGTATTTTAGCATATCCTTTGGTGTATTTGCAATCTATGATATGTTCTCTTTGACTTAATACATAATATTCTTCTTTTTGTCGTTTAAACTAGTTTCTTATTGTTGGTATTTCGAATATTTTTTCTACATTTAGGTCTAATTCTTTTCCTTTTATTTGTTCAAATATATTATTATCAAATATTATTTTTTGTTCTGCCGATTCTTCATCTTGATATTTTTCTTTAGTTATCATTTGTATATCTGTTTCAGTCATTGATATCGTATTCATTATTTGATTCTATTACTGGATTATTTTCCATTTCATTTTCCGATAATTCATATATACTATCATTGCTTTCTAATTCATAATCTATGTACTCTATCTGCGTATATTTTTCATCGTCTATTATTATTTCTGATATTTGTTTTATCTTTGGGTTTTTAGGTAATTTACAATCTCTAGCTATATGTCCTAATTTTCTACAATTATAACAAGTACATTCCGTTAGTTTTCTTTTTAGTCTATATGGTCTTTTGGTTTTGTAGTTTTTTACATAATATCTTCTTCTTGGTTTTTTATATTTATATTTTGATCTGTATTTTTTATTATATTTCTTTCTATTTTTATAATACCTATCCGTACAACTAAATTGAGGTGTTGTTTTATTTTTGCAACATGCCAAGTTTTTAACTAATATTTTTTCCATTTTTATTTCTTCTTTATGTTTTTCACATAGTTCTATAAACCATCGTTGTAAGAATTTTATTCTAGCTCTTAAGGTATTTGTTAATCCTGCTTCATTCCAACTTTTTATTACTTTTGAATTAAACGGTTTCGCTAATTTTGTAAAATATAAATTTCTTATTTCTTTAATTTCGTCTATGCTATATGTTCCTTTATAATAGTATTCTCTAAATGCACATGTATATTCATCTATATAACACATGTCACATATTGCTAATTTTGTCATTAGATTCCGATTTATGATTTTTTCTTTATTTTGTTCTTCTACTTCTGTTGTCATACTACTAAATTCGTTTCTTATAGCTATTTCGTATTTATATAATATTTCCCTAGTGAGGAGGTGTGAGGGGCTGGTTGTAGAGGGTACACGGAGGGGTAGAGGTAGGCCTAAGAAGTATTGGGGAGGGGTGATTAGACAGGACTTGGCTTAGCTGCACATTACCGAGTACATGACTCTAGATAGGAAGGAGTGGAGGTCGCGTATTAAGGTTGAAGGTTAGTAGGGTTAGCGTGTTGTCTTTCCTTGCGAAGGTATGGGTTGTTAGCGTTTGTAGTAGTCCTAGCCTTGCACTTGCAGTTCTTGTCTGTGATACCTATAGCCTTATGTTGTTTACTGTGTTTCACTTCTCACATTATTTTATTATTGTTATTGTCTCCTTTGTTGATTATATACTATCTTTGTTTATTGGATGTTATGTTGTATACACTGTTTTCCTCTCCTTTTACTTGTATTTGATGTACTTGAGCTGAGGGTCTTTTGGAAACAGCCTATCTACCTCCACGAGGTAGTGGCAAGGTCGGCGTACACTCTACCCTCCTCAGACCCCACCTAGTGGGATTTCACTGGGTATGTTGTTGTTGTTGTTTAGATATATTATCTATCAATTGGTTCAATTTGTTGTTATCGGTTTTTGTGATATTTAGTTGTTTATATTCCGAATATAATTTGATTAATTTTCTTCTTAATTTTCTTATCTTTCTACTAGTATGTTTCTTCTTATATTTCTTATCATCCATAGCTCTTCATTAATTGTTCTAATAGTTTTATATCTTCCATAGATTCTGTCCAATATTGTAAATATTCGTAGTTCATTTTAGTCTGAATTTATTTCTAAATCGTATCATTCTATTCTTTTGTAGTCTAAACTGTGTAGGTCTATTTCATACCATTGTTGGTTCAATATATCTTCTGATTCGTTATCATTAAATATTTTTTCCCATATGATTCTTCTTAATTCAATTATTTTTATATCTTTAAGTATATATAAGATTAGATCTACAAGAGCACATGAAAGGCAACCATGAAGTGTATCGCGCAAAGGGGGGTTCTTTTTTCGATAACTTAAAATCAAATGGAATCAAGGTCGGAACAACAAAAGGAATGAGTAGGGTTTCCACCCGCACTGTCAACCGCGGGTTGGAAATCAAGGTTGGAACCACCCTAGAGGTGAAGGACCAAGGCGATATTTCCAAGAGTTGACTGAGCATGACGATTATGAAGAATACCAAAATCAACTGAGTCACCGCCCGACATCAAGGGAGAATGACAACAGCCCAAGGGAGAATGACAACAGCCCAAGGGTGAATGATCTACTGACACAAATCCTTGAGAAAGTTGAAGGTTCTGATGATTTGCTAAAGGGAATGAGAGATGATTTTTCATCACTAAATAGCAAGGTGAACTCTCATGCTAATGCCATCAAGATGCTAGAAGGTCAATTAAATCTCCTATCGGCTAAACTAACAACCAAGATGCCAAAGGAAAATGGGGAAGAAGAGCTGACTGTAATTACCCGTAGCGGGAAGATAGCAATAGGTAACGAAGGAGAAGAACATGAGGAAAATTAGGGTGAGGAAGAAGCAGAGGTTACCGATCATCAAAACATCGGCAAGAAAGCACAAAAAGAAATGAATCAACACAGTGAGACTTCAAAAATAATACAACCCTTACCCAAAATACATCCACCTTTTCCCCAGCGTTTGAAAAATAAGAATGAAGATGAGAGGTTTAAAAAATTCTTGTCTGTGTTTAAAAAGTTGTCCATCAACCTTCCTTTGGTGGAAGCATTGCTGGAGATGCCAGGGTATGCTAAATTCATGAAAGAGTTAGTCACCAAGAAGAGGATCTTGGAGTATGAAACGATTGAAGTACCATATAGTTGCAGTGTGATCGTGACAATGGAGTTAATCACTAAAAGGGACGACCATGGTGCTTTCACCATCCAGTGTACTATTGGAATGCTCCAATTTGCCAAGGCTTTAAGTGACCTAGGAGTAAGCATCATCTTGATGCCATACGCCATATACAAGCAACTTGGATTTGGAGAACCAAAGGCAACTACCATGAGACTTCTTATGGAAGATCGATCCATCAAGCATCCTGTTGGGATCCTCTACGATATCTTGGTCAAAGTGGATCGATATATATTTCTAGCTGACTTTGTGATTTTAGATTGTGACATTGATGTTGAGGTCCCCATTATTTTGGGCAGGCCATTCTTAGCAACTGGTAGAGCATTAGTAGTTGTTGAAAGTGACAAGTTGAAATTCCGTGTGAATGATGATGAGGTAAGTTTCAACATCTGTAAATCCATGAAGCAACCAAGTGATATCCATCTAGTGTCTACTGAAGATGTTATAGACGAGGCAGTGGCAAGTGTGAGCTATCTGCTGCTCAAGAATGAACCTCTTGAGTCAATACTTGCAAATCATGACGATTCGAAAATACATGAATATGATGAAATGATCGCAGCCCTAATAGGGTTAGGAGCACAAGCATGAAATCCAATTAAGTTGGATATCGACCCAAAAAACTGATGCAGGCCACCTGCAAAGCCATCATTGAAGAGCCACCAACTATAGAGCTGAAAGTACTCCCATCCCATCTCAAGTATGTTTTCTTGGGAACTAACAACACTCTGCCAATGATTATTGCAGCAAATCTGAGTGAAAGGCAGGTAAAAGTGATTATTGAAGTACTGCAGAAGCACATAAAAGCTACCGGATGGACCATAGGTAATATCGTGGGCATTCCGCCCGGTATTTGCACCCATAAGATTCGGCTGGATAGTGAATGCGAACCCAGTGTTAAGCATAATCGAAGGTTAAACCCCCCGATGCAATAGGTAGTAAAAAAGGAGATCATTAAGTGGCTTGATGCAAGAATAATCTATCTGATTTCAGATAGCAAATGGGTCAGCCCAGTGCAATGCGTAGCAAAGAAGGGTGGCATAACAGTGGTCCCAAATGCTAAATGAGAGATTTTGCCGACTAGACCTATAACAGGATTTGGGGTGTGCATGGATTATCAAAAGCTTAATTCCTGGACTAAAAAAGACTATTTTCCAATACCCTTCATGGACTAGATGCTTGACAGGTTATCACAAAGAGGGTGGTATTGTTTTTTGGATGGATACTCTGGATACAACCAGATATCTATCGTACTAGAAGATCAAGAGAAAACCACTTTCACATGCCCTTATGGGACCTTTGCATTCAAAAGGATGCCATTCAGACTTTGTAATGCACCGACAACTTTTCAACGATGCATGTTGTACATCTTTGCAGATATTGTTGCCACTTCATGTTGAAAGAAGGCATTGTTCTTGGGCATAAAGTGTCGTAGTAAGGGCTGGAAATTGACAAAGCAAAGATCGAAGTTATCGAGAAACTACCACCACCAATATTAGTAAAGGGGATTCACAGTTACTTAGGTCATACAATCTTCTACCGGTGATTCATTAAGGATTTCTCAAAGATTGCACAACCATTGTGCAAACTTTTAGAGAAGGAAGTGAAATTCTACTTTGATGACGCTTGTATGGCAACATTTAAATGTTTGAAGGATAAATTGATATCCACTCCAGCTATCATCATCCCCAATTGGTCAGAATCATTTGAAGTGATGTGTGATGCGAGTGGTATTGCATTAGGTGTAGTACTGGGACAAAAGTGTACCAAACTGTTTCACCCAATCTATTACGCAAGCAAGACTCTAAATAGTCCCCAACAAAACTGAACAAGAGTTGCTAGCAGTGGTCTATGCTTTCGAAAAGTTCTGGGCATACTTGCTAGGCACTAAAGTAGTTGTTCATACAAACCATGCAGCACTCGGATACCTCATAGCAAAAAATGATGCAAAGCCAAGACTGATAAGATGGGTGTTACTCTTGCAATAATTTAATTTTGAGGTGAAAGATCGAAAAGGTTATGAGAATCAAGTTGTAGATCACCTATCATAAAGAGGGTGGTATTGTTTTTTCGGATGGATACTCTGGATATAACCAGATATCTATTGCACTAGAAGATCAAGAGAAAACCACTTTCACATGCCCTTATGGGACCTTTGCATTCAAAAGGAGGCCATTCAGACTTTGTAATGCACCGACAACTTTTCAACGATGCATGTTGTACATCTTTGCAGATATTGTTGAGGACTCTCTCGAAGTTTTCATGGATGATTTCTCGGTCGTGGGGGATACATTTGAAGAATGCTTGACACATTTAGAGCGAGTGCTTCAAAGGTGTGTGGAAACTAATCTAGTCCTAAATTGGGAGAAATGCCACTTCATGTTGAAAGAAGGCATTGTTCTTGGGCATAAAGTGTCGTAGTAAGGGCTGGAAGTTGACAAAGCAAAGATCAAAGTTATCGAGAAACTTCTACCACCAATATTAGTAAAGGGGATTCACAGTTACTTAGGTCATACAATCTTCTACCGGTGATTCATTAAGGATTTCTCAAAGATTGCACAACTATTGTGCAAACTTTTAGAGAAGGAAGTGAAATTCTACTTTGATGACGCTTGTATGGCAACATTTAAATGTTCGAAGGATAAATTGATATCCACTCCAGCTATCATCATCCCCAATTGGTCAGAATCATTTGAAGTGATGTGTGATGCGAGTGGTATTGCATTAGGTGTAGTACTGGGACAAAAGTTACCAAACTGTTTCACCCAATCTATTACGCAAGCAAGACTCTAAATAGTCCCCAACAAAATTACAGTCACTGAACAAGAGTTGCTAGCAGTGGTCTATGCTTTCGAAATGTTCTGGGCATACGTGCTAGGCACTAAAGTAATTGTTCATACAAACCATGCAGCACTCCGATACCTCATAGCAAAAAATGATGCAAAGCCAAGACTGATAAGATGGGTGCTACTCTTGCAATAATTTAATTTTGAGGTGAAAGATCGAAAAGGTTATGAGAATCAAGTTGTAGATCACCTATCATAAAGAGGGTGGTATTGTTTTTTCGGATGGATACTCTGGATATAACCAGATATCTATTGCACTAGAAGATCAAGAGAAAACCACTTTCACATGCCCTTATGGGACCTTTGCATTCAAAAGGAGGCCATTCAGACTTTGTAATGCACCGACAACTTTTCAACGATGCATGTTGTACATCTTTGCAGTTATTGTTGAGGACTCTCACGAAGTTTTCATGGATGATTTCTCGGTCGTGGGGGATACATTTGAAGAATGCTTGACACATTTAGAGCGAGTGCTTCAAAGGTGTATGGAAACTAATCTAGTCCTAAATTGGGAGAAATGCCACTTCATGTTGAAAGAAGGCATTGTTCTTGGGCATAAACTGTCGTAGTAAGGGCTGGAAGTTGACAAAGCAAAGATCAAAGTTATCGAGAAACTTCCACCACCAATATTAGTAAAGGGGATTCACAGTTACTTAGGTCATACAATCTTCTACCGGAGATTCATTAAGGATTTCTCAAAGATTGCACAACCATTGTGCAAACTTTTAGAGAAGGAAGTGAAATTCTACTTTGATGACGCTTGTATGGCAACATTTAAATGTTCGAAGGATAAATTGATATCCACTCCAGCTATCATCATCCCCAATTGGTCAGAATCATTCGAAGTGATGTGTGATGCGAGTGGTATTGCATTAGGTGTAGTACTGGGACAAAAGTGTACCAAACTGTTTCACCCAATCTATTACGCAAGCAAGACTCTAAATAGTCCCCAACAAAATTACACAGTCACTGAACAAGAGTTGCTAGCAGTGGTCTATGCTTTCGAAAAGTTCTGGGCATACTTGCTAGGCACTAAAGTAGTTGTTCATACAAACAATGCAGCACTCGGATACCTCATAGCAAAAAATGATGCAAAGCCAAGACTGATAAGATGGGTGCTACTCTTGCAATAATTCAATTTTGAGGTGAAAGATCGAAAAGGTTATGAGAATCAAGTTGCAGATCACCTATCACGGTTAGAGAATAAAGCAAGTATTGAGTAGGAAAAGGAGATAAATGACTCATTCCCAGACGATCATATATTTACACTGTCACTCGTACACGTATAATGGTATGCTGACTTTGCAAACTAGATCGTATGTGGGTTGATTCCAGATGAGTTGAACTCTTACCAACGAAAGAGGTTCCTATTTGATGTTAAAAGATACTTCTGGGATGAGCTATACTTATTTTGGGATTGTGCTGATCATGTCATAAGAAGGTGTGTTCCGAAAGAAGAATCAACAGAGATCCTCTATGCCTGCCACACATCACCAGTAGGGGTCATCATAGTGGAAACTGGACCGCAACAAAGATTCTCCAAAGTGGTTATTATTGGCCCTCTCTTTACAAATATGCCCACGATTTCGCTAAAAGATGCCCTGAATGTCAACAGTAAGACGGAGTGTCAAGAAGACATGAGTTACCCCTTACACTTATTTTGGAAATTGAACTATTCGATGTATGGGGAATTGATTTCATGGGTCCATTTGTCAGCTCGTTTGGAAACAAGTATATCTTAGTAGCTATGGACTATGTGTCCAAATTGGTGGAAGCTGTCGCACTTCCGAATAATGAAGGTTGAAGCGTTGTCCAATTTTTGAAATGCTACATCTTTGCACGGTTTGGCACTCCAAGAGCAATCAGAAGTGATGGAGGATCACATTTTTGCAATTAGTGGTTTTTCGGTGCATTGAGAAAATACGAAGTAAAACACAAGGTCACCACTCCTTATCACCCCAAACAAGCGGACAAGTTGAGGTGTCAAATCGTGAGATCAAAAGCATTCTATCCAAAACAGTAAACGATAGCAGAACCGGCTGGTCTAGAAAGCTTGACGATGCCCTGTGGGCATATAGGACTGCTTACAAGACACCTATAGGAATGTCCCCGTATTAACTAGTTTTTGGTAAATCATGACATTTACCTGTTGAGCAAGAACACATATCCTTATGGGCATTGAAAGCTCTGAATTTAGATTGGACAAAGGCTTCAAGAGAGAGGTTGGACCAGTTGAATGAAATAGATGAGTTCAGGCTCAGATCTTACGACAACTAAGCCATTTACAAGGAGAAAATGAAGAAATGGTACGACACATAGATAGTCTAGAGGGAATTCAATGTGAGAGATTGGGTGTTATTGTACAACTCACGATTAAGGCTATTCCCAGGGAAGCTAAAATCCAAATGGTCTGGGCCTTTCATAGTGACCCGAGTGTTCACCAATGGTGCTATAGAAGTTGAAGGTAAATAGGGACCCCCATTTAAAGTTAACGGACAACGTTTGAAGTTATACCTTGGGGCTTGCCAGGAAATCACTTTAGTTGAAAAATTGTACCTGGAGGATGCTTGATAGCATCCCTACGTCGTGCCACGATGTTAACTAAGGCATTGTTTGGGAGGCAACCCAAAACCCTTTATTGATTTATTTTACTCTGAGAAAATAATAGTGTGTAGTTTGGACAGGTTGAAGCAAGGGAAGAAAGTGAAATAATGTATGGAGGCACGCAACAAGTCCAGTTGGCGG